TGATTTTGTTTTTTTTTTTTTTTTTTTTTTTTTTTTTTTTAGCAGGTGCTTTAAGATACAGAACAATGTGAATTTTGCTGCGTTCTTAAAAGGATGAGCTGTGGAAGATGGTAACAACTTGTTTGCCGGGTAAGCACTGAGTTACTCCTCAGTTCAGAAGGTTTTAAGGTTTTATGCAACTTTTCACAAGTTTGTGTGTAACCTGGTGTGACTCAGGAACATTGCAGCTTCAGTGAACTGTTGTAGGACAGTTGTGTGGTAGCAGAGGTTGCTGGGCAGGGATGACCCCGCATCTTGGCAGGATCTGAGGAGGTCGTTTTATCTGGGAGTCATTCTTGTGTGTGTACATACACTTGAAATGGGTGTCACCATTGCACAGGGATCTGTAGCACTGGTTTCTGCATGAGACCACTGCTGGGTGTGAGGAATCCCTCTGTGCACAGCTTTTAACAGATTTTTAGGCTTCTTGGTGTACACACAGGTTGGCTCATGCATTGGCATGATTGATTGGTCCTTAACGAGAGGGGCTGGGAAACTTGAATTGATTTAAGATGGTGGTAACGGTGGTGAGAGGAGAGGACCTGGTCATTACCAAGGCTGCTGGGATGTTGCAGTTTCTGGTGAGCTGTGGACATGACCGTAAAGCAAGTCCATCAGACTCTTGAATTTGCCACACGAGGTGGCACTAAGTCTGCTGGGAATAAAGCTTGAGTGCAGGTCACAGACATGGTGCTCCCTCCTGCTGTGAAGGTAGAAGAGCAAGTCCTCGCTGAGGGGCAGGTGTGTGGCTGCACCCTTGGGCATCTCCAACACAAGCTACAGAGTCAAAGTTCTAGCTGGAACCTCTATAACTTGGACTCCAGAAGCTGCTGCTGAGAGGAGGGTTGTCACACACTGAAGCAAAAAGGGGAGACAAAAGGCTGCTTCGTGCAATTTACATCCAACTTGAGTTTGTTGTAACTATTGACACTAAACCCACATCTCTTTAACCCATAGTGTCTGCTGCCGGGTCACTGCCCATCGGAGGGGTGAGACACCATCCGGTGCCACCAAGGCGAGTCTGAAGGTGAGAGCGTGCAGCAAAATTGCTTGTACTGAAAAGAAATTGAAGGTCACTTTCAAAGAGGGTTTGCGTGGCTGAAAAACCAGCAGCTCTTAACGCGGTGACCGCACAGTGAAATCCTCTGCAGGATGCCGTGGCCACCCGGTGTGTGCTATGGTCTATTTGTGAGGAGATAACACCTCTCCAGGCCTCTTGGAGTGAAAAAGGATGTTTATTTTGAGATGCTGATGTGGGGAAGGGGCTGCTCAGTTCCCTTCTGAAACCAGGTGACTTTTGCAGCATGTGCAGCTGGAGAACAACAGGTTGATACAGCTGTGGCTTGAGTGGGCTTGTAGCAGAATTGCTGCTTCCTTTTGCCTTGGCAATGACAGGGTCCTGGGGCTGGGTGGGAGCCTCAGGGTGGGTAATCCTGGAACAACTGGAGCTAGGTGAGGAGAAGTGTGGGGTGGGAATGCTGTGGGCACAGTGAGTAGTTACAGGAAACAGAACATGATGATACTTGGGGAGCTGATGTTGAAATCACGCTTTTGCCCCTTAACACTTTAGTAAGGGGTGTATGGACACATTTCCTGTGTCACTGCTTTTATACCAGCACCATGTCCTGAAATTAAATTCCTTCAGACCAGAGGAAGCCATGTTGTGCCAAATGTGAAGATGACAACAGCTCAAATGGCTTTTCTTTGGAGTGAAAGTGCTAATAGATCCTTTTTCTCTCTCAGGTCCTGGTGATGTTGCTGTGAGGCTTCTGCAAAGAACTGCACAGCTCTTCCAAACAGAGAAGGGATCTTATCCAGAGTGTTTAAATGTTCATTCTATGTTTCCTTGCTCCTTTGTAAATTGAAATAGCTCATGTTGTTTGGAACCCACTTCAGAAGCATGAGGTACCTTTGCCTGTTGTGAATTCCCTGGTTTGCCCCTCTGGGAGATGCAGCAGAGCTACCTCAGGTGAGGTCACTGGAAAAGGCCTTGTCAGCTCTTTTCCCTCACTTCTGTGTTACTCAACTGGACTGTACCAAAGTTCTGGAGAGGGGTTCATTCTGTTCAGAATGTCACATCATTTAAATAAAACTGATGTCTGAAAGCTGCAGCCTGGGATTATTTCCTGTTGCTACACCATACGCAGCCAAAGGAGGAGTAAATCCTGGCTGATGAGCACTTGGGGCTTGTGGTCTTGGTCTCTTCCCTTCTGACCATAAGACTGTTCATGCAGAAGAGCCAGGAGGGGGAAGATCAATTAATGAATTGTTTCAGCTACTGCAGTACATTACTGAAAAAAATGAGAAAAAAAAAGCCTAAATTATAGTTAGCTTGATGAGCAATCAAGTTTCTAAGGCCTTTCTCTGCTGCATTTTAAACAAGACCAGATTTGATAAAACTGCCCTGTTATTCCACCTGCTGGTAACACCATTCAACTTGAGCTTTGTCTTGATGTCATGACTCAGCTCTTCTCTCCAGGTTTCCTGAGCTCCAAGTCAGCTACAGGCAGAAGTGGTGACAGATCTGCCCTCAGGTGCTTCAACATGTACCTGGAGTTAAATCACAGAGTCCAAAGAACAGAGTGAAGTTTCAGCTTTACAGGAGAGATTCATCTCTTGCATCCTGAGGGTTTAAGTCTTGTTAAAAAGAACTTTATTTTAAAATGGTTTATACATGTATATCACAAAAATTAAGGCACATCAAGAAAGGCTTTTCAAACTATCAGTCTGCTCAGAGACAAGCCTGTTGGAAGCAAAAGTCAATCTGCTGGTGGAGCAGTCTCAGTAGTAAAATCTGCATAGTATTCATGTTTTATTAATGGTTCCACAATTAACTTGATGAAATCATCTGCAGTATCCAGGGGTCTCTGGGATTGTACCAGCACAGTAGTGTTCCTTCTTGCTCCAAGTCTTCAGCCAGTCACGATACTTTCCAATTCTTCTTGGCTCGTAGTTTTTCCAGCATTTTCTGCAAATCAAACAAACTGTGAGACCACGGTAACAGGATGGGGCCTGGCCCAGCCCCTGGGGGTTATGGAGTGTTTTCTTCTTTCCACTTGAGGCCCCACCAAGGGGGTGGGGAGAACAAACAACTGGAGTGTCCTCATTCAAGCCCCATCTCTAGGGCCACCACAGGCAAACCCAGAGAGGGCTCCTGTAGCCTTAAGCTCAGGTGTGCTCAGCTCAACACAGATTCTGCCAAAATTCCCCAGTCTGCTGCCAAGTAGAGTTTCCAGCAGCCTGAGTCCCACCAGCCTTTCTGCTCAACCTCCAAAAGTCACCAGGAAAATTCAGCCTGAGGCAGAGACCCTTTTTTTGAGAAAATTTCAGCTCAGTCCTAGTGTTGGCAAAGAGGGATGTACCAATAGCATCACTTAAAATGCAGACTGGTTTGATGGTCTCTCAGCTGCACTCACACCACATAATTATGTCCCAATTAGTCTGATGAGAAGCTCAATAAATCAGGAGAACTAACCAGGCAGGACAACCCTGTAGTGGACTTACCTTCTGAAACTCTTTAGCCTTTTCTCTGTTTTTAGCATAAGTTTCTTGCCTTGTTTTTTCTTCCTTTCTGCTTTTTACTTCTGCAAGTCGATTATAAAGTCTGTTGAAACAGTAGGGACAAAAAAAAAAGTGTCTTGTCAGGAAGAAAGTGGCAAAGCTGAAGGGTTTCTACAGTCTCAATTGCTAGAAATTAAGAAAGGAAATGTTGACTCAGCTCTCCATCACTTCAGATTCCTCTTTGGCTGCATCTCACACACACCCTGTGCTCAGGAGCTGCACGTTATGGTTACTGGTGTCCCAGTCCAACTGTGAACTCTGCTCAAGCTCAGTCTGGTTGCCCACACCCTCTGGCAGAGCCCCCGTGGCCGGGGGAGCCGAGGGGGCGGCCACCAGCCCTGCTTCTCCCTGCAGCTCCACCAGGAACATCCACACACACTTGGCTTCTCCCTCCCAGCTGCTCCCTGTTGAGCACCAACTGGGAATCACAGACCCACCAGCAGCTTTCACAAGGCACAGACTGTGGAATAATTCCTCAGCCCAGCCCTGTGATCCTACAGCAGATTTGGGAACAAGACAGTCCTATGGAACCAATAAGCTCTGTATTTGCTGCCCCGAGCCAACAGTCTGTCAAATTTTGACAAGATGCTGTCCTTTGTGCAAACTTTGCTCATTGTAATGTCCCTGTAATACCAGAACAAACCTCCTCCCAAACACTACCTGCCTCCACAGCACCACCACTGGAGTCTGTGCTCTGAATTCTTCATAAACTATACCTTTAAATGCGAGGCGAGAGAATTTACATCCATCATAATAAAGGTATTTATGACCAGAATCACTCAAATTCCACCTTGAAGGTAAAAAATAGTATAGAAATAGCCCAAGAAAGGGGGGGTACTAGGGAAGGCACCATCCTCAACAAGTCAAGCAGGACATCCATCACAGACCACCTTTGACTTCAGGACCAGTCAAGTGGCTGAGCCTTTCTTCCCCCAATTAGGGACACCTTTGGGTAAGACAGACTATACCGAGTCCTTCTCCAGAAAACTTGGAAATCTCTCTAGAGGGTTACTCTTCTACGTGTATCACCAGGCTGTATTGTCTCTAACTTTGTCACGTGTTTTATACTATTCACAGTATTTTTATTTCCACATGCTTTGCAGACAGTGTATTTATCACCGGCAATCCATGAAAACTTTTATAGATGTTGCTTGAATAAACAGCACCCTGAAGTAGCTACCCTTTGGTTTCTCCTTGAGTGTGACCAAACACTTGGGAGTGCTAGTTCACGAGCACGACTGGACTGAAGGTGCAGTCCACCAGTAGTGCATGTGGAACAGTGATACCTTAATATATTAAACGCAACTGGACTGACAGCGGTGCATTCAGCATCACTCAGAATGTAAACCTGACTGCACCCAACCTCCCACCTCGGTGAGGAGTGTTAGAACACGAGGGTTTATTTTCTGCCAAAACTACTTTGCCCCTTAACACAACACAGACAAACCTACTGTATTTTTGACTCCAAACTTCTCCCACTTGTGCACATGCAATACCTTGAGGTACGTTGGTGCATTTCCATTTCTCCAGACTTCCTGTCCTCTGCAGAAGACACCCTCACTTCTCCCACTTTCTTCAGCTGATTGGTAACTGCACCTCGTTTCTCTTTACAAAGAAAAGAAAAAAGCCAAGCATATCTTAAACCACTAGTCCAGCTGCCTCAAAAGCATGGTTTTTAAATGATGCTACAAAAAGAGAAATGGGCAGAACAGATTCAATGGTGGTGACATCTCATATTGAAAAGAAACCTCCATGCTGCTGCCTGAACTTCAGCCAGCCCTGCTTCTCCACAGCCAACTTCCAACGCCCCAGCAGCAGACATTAGAGAGGCATCGGGTCAGTTCACTTCACGTGGTTGTTTGATAAACAACTATTATTTGCAGAGACCCCTTATGACCACAAACGTGTGGGCAGATTGTGACGATACAACAGGGACCCCTAAGGGCCTCTAGAACACTGAAAAGGAGAAGCCAGACAGCGGGAAAAACCCTCCCCACATCCCTGAGAAAACAAATTGAAGAATTTCCCACTCTGCAACAGCAAAGAAGCAACAAATGTGAAATCTCTTCTTCAATGTCCAACAGCCACTAAAGGTACCTAATGCTGTGTCTTTCCCCAGATAAACCTACCAGAGGTAAGAAAAGACCCATTTTGCCTGCTCAGCTTCTCAGACTTTCCTCTTTGAAACTGCCTGGCTTCTGGCTTTGCATTTTCTCTCTCTTTGTTTTTTATTTCTTCTACTCTTTTCAGAGATTTCTGGATGAAGTCCTTCTTTCTTTTTAAAAAGGATTCCTGCAGACTTCCTGGTGTAGCCGTGAACTCCAGCAGCATCACTGTGGAAGGAAGCGAGAAGCCTGAACGTGTCTCACTTTTTAGCAACGAGCAACATCACTTCTAATGAGCCACACACTTCAATGGATTTGTCCCAAAATGCTGAGCTTGATTATTTTTGTAAATCACAGGAGGAGAATGACTTTGGGAAACAGGAGAGATCCTGCAGAACAAGCAGCTGTTCCCACCTATGGAATCTAGTAACGGTGAACAGGTCTACCCAGACAAACACCATGGGAAATACTGCATCCAAAGCATCTTGATGCCTCCAAACATATCAAGGACCTGAGAAGTCCCTACCACATTTGAGTTCTGTCAATTCCTGTCTTTCACATTACTGCTGTTCATTTTGGACAAAAAAATCTCTCAGTATTTTACTGCTGTTCCACACTATCAGCAGAATAGAAAACAATAGACATTCCTTGGCTACGGAGCTTGGGGACTAACAGGAAATAAGAACCAAGTGAAGGTGCATAAGTTATATGACAACAAACCACAATTTTTCAAAACTGAGTAGTCAGAACACCAAGAACCCCCGGTGTACTGCAGACAGCAGCAAATTCCATGAAGGACTGCCTGGCATAGGAAGAGACAAGCCAGTAAGACACATATTAAACCTGGGTCAAACGTACTACAAACCAAGCCTGAAGAGCAAGATGCACTTCCCTAAGAGAAGCTCTATGTTTTCTGAAAGAGAGATGTATTTTATTAATGATTTTAACACTATAAACAAAGACCTTTCTCCATCTCAACCACAGCACATTGCAGTTACACGTAGTTACCTGCTGTCTGATGTGATGGGACGTGACTGTCATCAGGACTCTGGGCTTCAGAAGAGCCATCAGGCCTCCCACACACTGAATAATCTGCATCTGGAGCCAGCAGTAAAAATTCTGTCTCCTGTTTAAAAAGGAATTGATGATTGGAAATGCTTAAAATATCCCACAAATTTGAGCGCAGTGGTTGTACTGTCCCACTAGCGTAGACCTGATGGCAAATAAAAGACAACACTCTTTTGCCTTCACAGCAGATGGAAGAAAAACCATCAGAAATGGATCTTGGTATAAATATTAAAAAGCTAGTTTCTAAAAGAAACACTTTAAAGCTTAAAAAAAAAATCCATTAGAGACTCTTTGCCCACCAGATTTCAACTGTTGCTTCTTAATGCAGGACTGCATAATTTCATCATAACTAACATTTTTTTAACTTTAACTTTTAACTTTTTAACTTTAACTTTCCCTCTGTTCTCTGGTTCTCCCCCTGCCCTGGCTCTTTCCCTGGTTCTCAGCAGGAAGGAAACACCCACTGCAGAACTACAGCCTCCTGCTGCCGACCTCCACCTCACCCACATATCAATTACTGTATAAAAACCCATCCTTAGGCACTTTGAGGATCTTCTCTAGGTACCTCCTGCTATTCAAACATGACTCCATCACCTAATCTGTTCATCGAACAGACACACATTACTTGGTTCTATGTCATTGCTTCAGCACCCAAAACTCTCTTTCACCACAAACCAGTCCCTCTACAGTTTGCAGCCTTTGCTGTGTATAAGCAAACAGCAAAACACACAAATCACACCACAGGTAAATTAAGTACGGGAGTAGGATGAGCTGATCATATTTTTGCCCCTAAACCTGGAAGTGCTGCGTGGGCCTGGAGCTCCATCCATCAGATGGGGGATTTTTCCTTTTTTTCCTGTTTAGTTTGTAGCTCCTCTTTTGTCCCACCTTCTCCTCTCGTTCAAGTCTTCAACTAATGGGATACAACTTAGTCTTGCAACACCAGCAAGATGGTTCTGTTTCTTAATAAAAGTCTTCCCAAACTCCATCTACACTGATATGACAACATATTGGTTTTAAGGAGTAATACAAATTTAAGATCCATTAGATCTGCCAGAAAACATAACAAACCAAGACGATCCAAGCAATTACTAAGCTCAGATAACCCTAATATTCCCTCATTTTGCAAAAGGGGATTAACTGCTACAGTGGGGCCTCTCCTTATTATGATTAGGACTAAGTTAAAAATCAGGATTAGATCATAGAGACTCACTGCATTTAACTCAGACTGATCCACACCCGCTGGGTTACTGATTTTCCCCTCCTCCATTTTCTCTCTGGTAGGATGTTCAGCGTCTGACTCTGCAATACTGATGTCATTTGAGCTCATCAGAGTGAGCTCAGGCTCTTCCATAATACCACACCCTGACTCCGTCTCCTACAAAATAAATTAGACAAGACATCAGTGTAAAACAGGAAAAGTAATAAAAAAGCCCGCTATTTCCAGCACTAGGAAGAGCTGTTATCCTGTCAGAAAGGGGAGGCTCATTCAACATGTAGAAGAAAGAAAATCTGCCCCCAAGCAATAAATGAAATACAGAGAGACCACTTTGCCTGAGGATTTGATGTCCGCAAAACCTGGAACTTCAATTCACTGAATTTCTAGAGTTGGAAGGGACCATAGAGATCATCTAGTCTTTTATATAGCAGTGTTTTAAAAAAAACAACAAATAACCCAAAGCAACAACAAAATCTCCACCTCTGCTCCACTCACCTCAAGTTTAAATTACTCAGTTCTAAGACAAACTTTTTTTTTAAAAAGCTACAACAAAGCTATTTCCTTAAGTTTGCACATGCTTTGGTTAAATTATTTACCTCCTTCAGGCCTCTCAGTGGGGCCAGGGGCTCCCCAGTTCAGTAGCTGTGCCCTGGAAGGCAGAGGCAGGAGCTGAGAGAGGGAGATGCTACAGCTCCTCCAACCACCACAGGAAATCCAGCTCATTTTAGCTACTGACAGCTATTTCAGTGCTATGAGCTGAAAGCAGCAGTAAGGCAGAAGTCCAGGAAACAAGCAAGTCAAACTAGAACTGTAAAAACAACACTTGCCAAGCTTTCAGATATCAAGGATCTAAAATAACTCGGTGCAACAACAGAAAACCCAAAAGAAAAGCCTGCCCAAATCACTGCTTTTGGAAATCTGTTGCACTCACCCAGACTGGGATACGAAACGAGCTGCTGGGCACAGAATTAGAGTGTTTTTCACATCTTTCCAGGGAAGAACCGTTGTGTCGTACGACAGCCTGGAAATGGGTGTCTGAGTCTTCCCAGTGAGCTTCTCTGGGAACCCTGGCAGGTTTCTGTACTTCTGGAAAGCCTTGCTCTGGCTCCTTTGTATTCCTATTGCACCGAGAATCCAGCTCCACAGCTTCATCTGCTTCAGAGACGTGAACGGATTTTTCAGGAAGCTTCACATATTTCTTATCAAATGCCTCCACAGGTAATTTTTCAGAGGACATTGTCTCTTTTAGGAAGTGTGGAGGGAAAGGTTCCTCTACTGTAACTGGTCTGGTATTTAGTGGATAAAATGCTTTTTGCTCTTCCAGTGGATTCAGACTTTTGTTTCGCAGATTTTCCATTGAACACTGAAGATTAATGTGTTCCAGACTTCTTGCCAGGTCTTCATATTCTCTGGCAGATGAAATACAGTTCTCATTGCTCCATTTTTTAATTCCAGGGGTTTCTTCAAAAGATCTCTGTAACACAGCACCGAGGTCCTCCGGCCGATCAGCATTCTGACAGTGATCACTCAGAGTAGACTCTAATTGCAGGGGGTGAAAAGATTCTTCAGATCCTGTTTGAGAAATTATCAGGAGTCAAAATTCTAGCTAAGAGAACAGAATTTCAATTTGAAGTCCCTCCATAATGAAACTTTTCAGTAATGTATAATAAGTAGTCTAGTAAATAGGAGGAAACATTTTGTTTAGAAAATGTCCAGTTAAGTTTCTTCAAACATTCCATAAAAGGATTCCTTCACTGCACAGAAAACAACTTCAAGAAACAACACTTTGTGTTGCTTTTTTTAGAATGTGTTTAGGGTCAGAGTTTGTGATGGTGCTGACATAACTACCTGGAAAGTCAATGGATTTTACAATTTCTACTCTGTAAATGGAAGCTCTTTGAGTCCCTTTTGGGCAGCCAAAGTCTCTAGAACAGGAAGAAAACAACCCAAACCAGCATTACTTGGGCAGAAGCTCTTCAAAGCAGAAGAAAACATCCAAATTGGAACAATGGTTGCTCTTCCTACAAGTTACAAGATTGCACCCTAAATTGCCTTTCCCTTAGGATCTATGCATACAAATCAAGATTTTTTATTATTTCCAAAAGGTTTGGAAAAGAGAAAGATCAGGTGTCAATATTTTAATGACTGGGGAGGCATTTCAGCAGTACTGCACTATACAGTATACGCTGTAGAGAAAGAAATAAAATATATACAGAATAGTCACTTGCAGCTTTAAACATGTTTCCAAAAATTTTGTGTATAAATATGCAAATAAGAAAGATAATTGACTAGGAACATTTACATTATAAATACAAATATTATTCAAAATATTGAGCTGAATTTCTGTTACCGTTCAGCTTTCTGTTGGAGCACCTTAAAATGCTGCAACACCTGGCTCCTGATCTTCAGGAATATTTAGATTACTACTAGTTGCATTTGGAATTTCAGATTGGTCCTTTCCTTTAGAATACATGAATATCAAATTAATTTGAATTCAACTGCAAAACATTAAAAAATACTTCTCCTGCTATGAGCTGCAGTTAACTTAAAGCCGCTGTAGAATCATAAACTTTTAATCTACTAAATTAATCACTACATTGCAATTTAAAAGTTTATTCCTTCCTCTCTCTTCCCTCCCCTTTCATTTTGTAGACAGATAAAGCAATTCTACAATCAGTCCAAATCCCACAGCGTGCAGTGTGTAATGACTGTTGGTGTGACTGCACAGTGGGAGAGGAAAATTCAATGGTTTCTTGAAGGATACATTATATTAAAAAAATAAATGAGAAATTCTAACACATACACCTCAAAGTTTTAATCAATTTACGGAACTTCCTTAATTTCCTCAAACTTACAAAATGATGGATTTGCACAAACAAATATTTGGAAAAGTCGTTAAACTGACAGTTTCAGCCAGAGTTCGTATTTCTTCACTAACATCATAATTACTGCACAAGTAACGAGTAAAACAATATCTGTTCCAGTGACTTGAATACACAAGTCTGCTTTGGTATGGAGGTTATAATTGCTGGGGAAACAAAGACCTTCACAAAATGTAATTACCATTAAAGGTGATGGAGAAGAGCGTGTGAGAGAGCAGCAGCAGCAGCAGCACGAAGGCATTTCAAAGCAGAGCTGCCAGAGCAGTGAGGAGTTCCTGCCCAGTTTCAGCACAGCAAACCCAGCACAAGGGCTGGTGTTCACAGCCTGGCAGGGGGCTGATTTTGGAAGCATCGATCTGACTGCGCTCTACGTACCCAGAGTAACATTCTCATTAACAGACTCTTCTGCTGCCGCAAGGTTGTTTGCCCCGCTTGGCTCAAGACTGGAAGGCAGGTTTTTTCTTCGTATATTCAAACTGGAGTTTCCCACTTCTAGAAACGTGGACACATCTTGACTTTTTGTTGAAAATTTTGAAGTCTAGTAGTAGAAAAAAATAATCTTAGTTATGATTCATTTTCTTGGAAATATGAAGGATAAAAAGCTAACAGTACTATTTGATTTTTGGATCACATTTCTGCTACAACCAGCAAAAATGCTTCCAATTCTAAGTATAGAAGAAACACTATAATATTCCTTGCTAAACAGAAGACAGTATAGAGATTATACATTTAAACCTTACAGAAATCTTAAGCCAAAGTATTTCCTCCATCAGAGTTTTTCTGTAGTACCTTGCTGAATTCTCTACTGTCTTGTGAAGTTCTGCATTGAGAAGAGGATGATGAAGTATCATGGTCAAGACTTGGTTCCAAAGGCTGAAAGAGCTGGAAGTTCAGAAAATCCATGTCTGTTTCAGGAAAATCAGGTTCAGCTGCTGGAGCTACAAGAAAAGAGGTTATTTAAAAACAAACACACCCCTCCCTCAAAGAAAACCCCAATGGACATCTCACACCATGCTTCTGTATGCAGTAAATACAGCATAGAGAATTCTGCAACTATACAGATACTAGCTTTTAAAAAGAAAGAAATTAAATCTTTCCAACATCTAATTGTTCTGCTCTGATACAATGAAAGTACAAAAAGCAGAAAGGAAGTGATATTGGTTTTTTTAATGAAAAGATGACGTCCATAAGGTCTCTGTTCAGTGCTTGTGGCGCTGCATCAGAAGTAGTTTGGGTTTCCCAGTACAAAACACGCAGTGGAGCAAGTCCAATGAAGAGTCACAAGGGTGACTTAAAGGAAGCACATGATATTCAAAGAGAAGCTAAAAAACTGAGTTTGTTCAATCTTAAGAAAAGGCTTGGGGGTGTGGGGGAAGAGGCACAGAAATCTCTGCTGTCTTCTACATCGTGAGACACAGCACAGAGAAGATGCAGTCAGCGTTCTTGAACATGCTCAGTGAAAGAAAAAGAGAATGGACACAAGATGGAACACAGGAAATTCTGGTTGGATACAACTAAAGAAAAAAAAAAAAGAAAAGGAAAAAGTTCTTAAAATGTTGCTCAGGGGAGTGGGGAATCTCTGTCCTTAGAGATATTCAGTACATGCCTGGTCAAGGCCTGGAGCAACCTGGTCTAAGCTGGCTCTGCTCTGAGCAGGAGGGAGAATGTGGATCATGTGACTAGAAGTTCTTCCTGGTCTAGATTAATCTGTAATTCCATGATTCTAGCTTTTCAAGCATTCCAGGAGGAAGTGGTTCAAATGAAAATGCTGGCACTATCTTCACGACAGCTAATAAAGATGTTCTTATTTTCATGAATTGTTACATTCTTCTAGAGAGCACAGAACTCCCACCAGCCTGTTAATCAGCTTTTCATCAACTATGGGACCCTACGTGAGTAAAGAAGTGTTGTATATTATTGTCTCTGCCTTCCTGAAGAGAAAGCTGTGCATGAACAAGTGATGAAATTGGCACAGAAAACAAACATGGTACCCTAGCCATGGTAGCAGGGAGCTGTGCAGAACTACATGATGATCAGACAGACAGCTTCACCTTCTTGTGGATGAGAAGCTCAACATGAGCTGGCAATGTGCACTGGCAGCCCAGAAAGCCAACCCCATCCTGGGCTGCATCAAGAGAAACATGGCCAGCAGGTCACGAGAGGTGATTCTGCCCCTCCACACTGCTCTTGTGGGTACACCCCACCTGGAGTAGTGTCCAGCTCTGGAGTCCTCAGCACAAGAAGGACATGGACCTGTTGGAACAAGTCCAGTGGAGGGGCACAAAAATGATCAGAGGGGTGGAGCACCTCTGCTACGGGGACAGGCTGAAATAGCTGGGGTTGTTCAGCCTGGAGAAGAGAAGGCTCCAAGGAGACCTTATAAAGACCTTCCAGTACTTGAAGGGAGCCTACAGAAGAGATGGGGAGGGACTCTTTGTCAGGAAGTGAAGCAATAAGACAAGGGGTAATGGTTTTAAATTGGAAGAGGGAAGATTTAGATTAGATATTAGAAAGAAATTCTTTACTGTGAGGGTGGTGAGACACTGGAACAGGTTGCCCTGAGAAGTTATGGACAACTTCCACATCCCTGGAAGTGTTCAAGGCCAGGCTGGATGGAGCTTTGAGCAACCTGGTCTAGTGGGAGGTGTCCCTGCCTATGGCCAGGGGGGTTGCAACTCGATCTTTAAGGTCCCTTCCAACCCAAACCATTCTGATTCTATGATCTGATCAATCTTTTTTTTTTTTTCGCATTACACAAAGAATGTCATGTACCATCAAAGCTCTTGCACGTACAATCCTTAGTGCCTTTAAAATATAAGCTGAATAAGCTGAATATAAATAATACAGACTAACACTGAACTCCTCCTCATTCCATATAATGAGAACACAGCACAAAAATGCTTTAATGTGGCAAATACCTTGGAAACGTGTTTTGTCCTCTGAGTAAGAGTTCAAGTCTCCAGAACATTTCCTCATGATCCGCTGTATCTGACTTCCTTTATAAAGGCACCTCTCTCCTTTGGGCAACTGAGTTTCAGAAACTCCAGACAAATTCTCCTGCCTCTGCTTCAAGGCAAGAGGCAGGGAGGATTTCCAAGGGCAACTTGCTGTTTCTCTCAAAATTCGATCTTCTGTACTATCAGAAGACAATCCTGAAACAGGAAGCTGGATGTTCACAGTTTTGTACATAAACCACTTACATGAAGTCATCTGAAAACACAGCTTAATATCCTGAAATATTCATAAAGAGCTCAGGGGGTTTGTTTCTTTGTCTCCTGTCAACACTCCTGCCTTACCACATATTTCCACAAATTCAAGCTGATAATATCTAATTAGGCAGTGCTCAGTACAGCTTAGCACTTATAGACTATGTAGACTTAAGAAATACTGGGGAAAAAAAGCAGAAAAGCAAAGCTACAAACAAATCATCTTAGGATTTGCTATAGCTTTCTGATGTCAATAAATCCCAGATTTGTCACATGAGTTATGAAGTTTATTACTCAAAATAACAATTACCAGTTTAGAACATTAGGGTTAAAATGAGCCACTGATACCCCAAGGCTGTAAAAACTGTAGTTTTCAAAAATTGCTTTAGAACCATGGAATAACTCACATACACATATGTTGTTTATGAGATCAGATGTGCCAGATTAACAAAATATTAGGACTTCAAGTAAATAAATCCACAGGTCACTATCCAATAACTTTCAAACTCAATTCCCATGTTCATAAGTGATAATGTCAATATACAGAGGAGAAAATATATGTATATAATAAATGAATTATTTTTAATTTTATGAAAAGCTAATAGGATCAAGAGGCAGACTGCAGGCAAAAAGGATATGAACATGTATTTCCCAGAAAACTATTGAAAGTCAATATGGCATTCAAATGACATTTTAACAAATAAGTTATTAGGAATTGCTGGGTTTGTATGCAGATATTGGAACAGTTCTCTTAACAGCAAGATAACAATCACAGCTCTGTAAAAACCTATGATATATACTGATTAGAAAACTTATCACCGTATCATTTGGGGATCAGTTTCTTAAAAAATTTTGACACTTGAGATCTGCAGTTGCTTAATAAAATATCCTTTGCCAAAAGTAGATGTGTTATAAGATTAAATTATAAAAGTTAAAAAATCATGAACACATAATGAAACCTTCTAGTTACACTCAACTCTGTAAGACATATTGATCAGTCTTAAGTGAAGTTCCACATTAACCTATTTCAGAAGACCTTATTCCAGTGAGTTAGACCCGTTCTGCTATAAAATAAAGAGAAGACAGAATTTTCCTTCTACAAGAACAACAACAAAACCCAAACACTTACCAGTGTCCACAGGGCTTGCATCCAACGTTTCACTGGTCAAAAAGCTTCCAGTGGAAATTGTTGAAGACAAGTCACAGGGTGTTCCTTGCACAAAAGCCTCCGAACCTACGTTCGTGGATACGACTTTAGAAAGTACTTCCTAGGATGAAATCACACCCATTACTGTGCATTCCAAGGGCCATAACGGAAGCTTTAAAACCCCACTTTTAATTCTGAGCTCAGTTCAAGTGTAGAAGCCTTCATGCTCTGCGCAGTCAGGCAAAGACAGACTCATCATTGCTCAGCACAAAACATTCACACCCCATGTCCCAGACCCATCACTCCCCAACAGCCCCCTCCCCTCAACACACACACACACACACACACACACACAATTCTAAAGCCTCTCAGAACTGCATACAAATCACAACACCTGGAAGATAAAATTATCTTCTGGTGGTCAGATTTGGCTATTTCTCATCACAGACCTACTGCAGTAGAATCGTAGATCTCAGAGGGACATATATGCAATACATGAAAAACTCAGGAATTTTAGAAGTACTTGCAATATTGAGCTTTTTGTAGACAGGAGACCAACTTAAAAATGTAATTCTATTAAACTAAAAATATACAAAGTATTCTAAGATATTATCTTCTTAATTTGAGGTAAGCTCTACAAAGTCAGAAAACAATAATGAGGATTCTTGTACTTCCAAATTTTGAAGAATTAGATGTAAACATTTCTTCCCAAAGTCTGAATTAAAATGAGCACTAAGAAAATCTAATAAACCCTTTCCCTACATTTTTCATTATATACTACCTTAGATAAATATATCTAACATATACATATAAAACGTGTACATTTGAAAGCAATGTTATATACAGCATTTTTTTAAATAATGTTTTTATCTCCTGACAAAATAATGCGATCTTTGGGGAAAGCCAGGGGATATCACTGGTGTTGATTTTGGCAAGACTTTTGACACTGTCTCTCCCAGTATTCTTGTATCCCAGTTTGCACGTCAAAACCTGGATGGATGGATGACAAGATGGGTAAAAAAAAAAGGCTGAATAATCAGGCTCAGAGGACAGTGATTAAATGGGCAACAAGTAGAGCATGATGGGGCTCCTTCCTAGGACTTGTCCTCTTTAACACCTTTGGCAATGACCCAGGGGAGGCAAAAATCATACTTTTATCAAGTTTGCAGATAACAGTAAGTTGGGAGAAGCTGGGAGGACCATGCGATACACTAAACAGCAGGGCTGACACCTAGAAGGACCTCACGAGGTTGGCCCTATAGGACTGTTATGGAACTCAGCATGAAGAAATGCAAAGTCCAGCACCCAGGAAGGAAGAACCCCCCGTATCACTGGAGAGAAGCCTTGTGACAAAGGGCCCAGGGGAGCAGAGAGCAAGCTGAGCGTTGGCACACGGTGTGCTCTGGCAGAGAAGAGGGAGAACAGAATCCTGTGCTGTATGAAGAGGAATACGGCCAGTAGATCCACCACAGTGGTTACCTCTCTTTACTTGGTGCTTGTTACACTGCTGCATCTAGTAGACTAAGACAGCAGCCAGTCTTAGCTCCCTCAGTATGAGATAGAACGAATTTCTCACAAAATAAAGAATAAGATATGTTATATGGCTATTTTGATATGACTAACCGTAGCATCAAGTCTGAATGATGGTCCAGAACGTGTTGTAACTCCCTCTCCAACTTCAGCAGCAAGAACCGGTGAATCTTGAGCCACTTGAGAATCCTGGGACTGGGCTGAACACAAATGTAACAGAGGCAATAAGGAACAGAAAACAATTTTTGAGTTCAGTCAGCAGTATTTTTTGACCACCAGATGGCAGCAATACTCTGCTGCTGCTGTCTTCACTATTAGGGCACGGATTTTGTCCATCCTCACAGCTTTCTTCTCACCTACAGCAGACTTTCTGCTCCACTGTACCACTGATGTAATTGGCAACCAGTGGTTCTCCCCGAGCAGCCTTCCTAAAACTTTTATCTACCACAACTGCTCTCTAGAGAGCATGCAGGAAGAGCTACAAATTCATACTCTGGTTTTGCAGAACGAAACATGGCTTTGCTGGTGTTACTACCATCGTTTCATTGGGGTGAGGGGGAATCTTTTCCCCTCTACCATTATAATGATTACAAAGAAAAGCAGACATTCTAAGTAGATCAAAGAAACCAGAAACACAGAATTACGTAACTATAGCATGACTACTACCATGGAACTGAATCACCTTTGACAAAATGCCCTTACACATAAAAATATGTAAACTGTGTAAAAGTACCACCATAACAGCACCAGAAGAATGCAGTTTCTGTATTCAGTGCTGACGAGGACCTTCAAAGTTTGACAGTTCTTCTAAGATAGTAAATTAATTGCCAACAAGCAACTCTAAAATGAGTATTCTTATTTCCAGTAACAATTTTCAAGTAAGAAGTGGTAAATATCAAATTGAAATTAAACAGTAGAAATTAAGCAGGTATGTTTTCTCTCAATTCTACCAGGGTTGCTGGTGACAGAGACGTTTCAAATCCCCAGCATTTGTAAGATCTATACTTAGGTACATGTCATAACATTTTGTGAACCCTAAGTTTTGTACAAACTGAAACTCAATTTCTTACTAGAAGGTTGAGTCCAGTTATTCCATTTTTCCAACTACACACAAAAAAGGGGGTTTCCTCTGTGAGGCAACACCAGTGAACTATCTATATGATGTGATAATTATGCATCTCAAACAATATGAAGTATTTTGAAACTTATTTCAGGTAGGGAAAAAAATATATAATTTATATTTCCTGTCTCCTTGGTTGGATGATTCACAGATTTGACAGAGTTGGAAGGGATCTCTAGAGATCATCTAGTCCAACTCCCCTGCTAAAGCAGGGTTGCCCAGAGCACATCACTCAGGGCTGCATCCAGGCAGGTCTTGAAGATCTCCAGAGAAGGGGACTCCACGACCTCCCTGGGCAGCCTGTTCCAGGGCTCTGTCACCCTCACCGTAAAAAAGTTTTTCCTCATATTTGAGTGGAACTTCCTCTGTTTCCACTTGAGCCCATTGCCCCTTGTCCTATCGCTGGAAACCACTGAAAAGAGTCCGGCTCCATCATCCTTCAACCCACCCTTTAGGAATTGTAAACATAGATGAGGTCTCCCCTCATCCTTCTCTTCTCCAGGCTAAAGAGCCCCAGCTCTTTGAGCCTTTCCTCGTAAGGGAGGTGCTCCAATCCCTTAATCATCTTAGTTGCCCTACGTTGGACACACCATGATGCAGTGGTGCGATTTGAGTCCAGACACGCTGCAGAACTCTGCTCTTCTTCTCTGGAGGACAATGCAGGAGTCAGAGGATCCTGAAAACGAGCAAGGCCTTGAAGAAAATTCCTTTGCTGAGTATGAGAACTGCAATCATATCATCTCTTGGTATTTAAGTATCTCCATAGGAGGGAAAAAAGCGCAGCATAAAAAAACTTCTAAACTCAAAAGAAAGTAGTAACAAGCAGCAGTGGCTACAAACGGCTATAAGATTCAAATAGACTATTTACTTTATAATTGGATAAAAAAAATAATGCTGGAACAAGCTACCAAAGAATTCTCCATTTCCCAATACCTCTACATCAAGATTAGATATTCTTCTGAAAGAAATGATTGTATTTTCTAAAGGACATCAGAGTGACAAGTAGTAATTTAGGATACACACGAAATGAGATTCAAGCATTTAATACTCCCTTGTATATAAATTCTATGGAGAGTTATGCTACAAATGTTTCATTACTATACTGTAATAACCTGCATTGTTCTTGAGATATTAATACAAGGGATGAACAGTTGCAATTTCATGCTATAAACCAAATTATTTAATTAAAAATACAACATGCTCATATCTCATTACTTCAGTACATTAGTATCCTTTAAAAAAAAACCTGTATTTGGTGACTCATAAAGGAGGGTTTTTTATTCTTCTCTCCCCCCTTCAAAATAATAGTGCAAGGTTCTTGTTCCTCACAACTTCCTGACGTTGACATGGGTCTGTCATGCTTTAAGCTCCTGGCTGCCACACTGTCACAAAGAATTTGTATTTCATATCCAGAATACATTTTCTTTTTCTCCTCAACAGAAATTTCAGTAAAATAGCAGCAAAGGTGCAATTTGAAAGATAACAGACCAAACAACAACCACTCAGTGAAGACAACACAAAAACAGATTAGTCCAAATCCAACCATGTAGACAAAAGAAGGTGTACCCCATAGTTTGCTAAGTTGGTGACAGACAGGACAACCTGTCACAATAATGAATTATGAACAAATATTTTGAATTAATAAAAACAGATTGAAATCTCAGGTTAACTTGGTTCACACAAAAACCATACATGCTTAGAATAACATGTCTGTATGGGGGAGCAATACACAAAGATAATCACATCTGGAACACTGCTCAAGGGGACCACTGAAGATGAATAGAGAAACGCCCGTTGATATGTAATGAAGGAGAACTATGAAGGAAATGCATGTATCAAATCTAGTTCCTATTTTCAGGCTGACTTCTTAAGGAAATTAGGTTTATGCCATCAAACTGCCTCTCTCATCTGTGGGGTTACTCTGCAATTCCATACTAACAATTTGCATTCTATTACCCCACTTAAACCAAATTGGATTGGGAAGAAGAAATATTGAGTGTCCAAAGTTCCAAACTCATCCTGTCATAGATTGGTGCATGGTAAGAGAGAGCAATTCAAATTTGAGCCTCACTGATGGCATTTACTGCCACATCTCTTGAACAGCTACCTGTCCTCTCAGCTAATTGTAGACATTAAAACCTAAAAAATTACCTGTTACCCAGGGACAAGTGATGTATCAAAAGAAACTCACATTTGTTGATAAAGCATCCAAGCAGATCTACCACGTTTATCTTTAAGAACCGGTGTAACTTTTACATTTTTAACTTTAATAGTTTATTTTGAAAAAGCACATGAGCAGTGATTAAAAGGATTTGTGCACATCTAGTGGTTCCGTAATCATGAAAGCAGTACAACTCCTAAGTTGTAAAGCTTTACATTATTTGAATGAAGGCAGAAACCACCAAGAACATAACTTCAAAGAATAAGGTCAAAGATCACATATACAAAGCACTTGTTTGTTCTCACCTTTAGAAATACAATTATGTCTTGAAAACATGGGAAAGCTGCAAACATGTTCTGGGTAGACTCAAGTGACAAAAAATAAATATATATATAAATCCCACAAATATAAAATAACCAAAGCTGCTCTTATAAGTAACAGCTTTAAATCTACCTTAAATTTCCCCTTCAGAAATTTTCTATTAAACACAGACTGTAGATTTCCTTGCTGAAGATACAGCACTAGTTACCGAAAGTACCACGGAGGCTTCACAGCCTTCAAATTACAAAGATCCTGTTGACAGTTTTGGTTGTTGAGCTGAGGACAATCCTCTTAAATACATAATCACAAGAAGCTTAGCTTCTTTTTTAATAAATAGAGATGTTCACATGAAGTTTCCTAATCTTCTTACATAAACCATCGCACGGCTCATATATAATACTGGCTGATGTAAAAAGACACTACATGAAGATTTTTCCTATTAATATGGTAACAGCTGATCTAACAATGCTTCAGAAAAAGACAAGCCACTATCTTCAAATATTGTTAAAAAAGACAAAATTCCTTAGTGATAATTTAAGTTTAAATATAGGTATATTTCAAAACAAGTATTCTGAGAATTAAAGGAAGCAGCTGAAAGAAAATGAGCTTATAGGTACTTATTCACAAACAACTTCAATCCCTAGTAAATCCTGATTGAATCGAAAAGGATGTCTCAACCCAAACTAAATGAGAAGTTATCTTAAGATTTGGGACAGCAGTGAAATTTCTAGCAAAACCAGGAGGTGCACACTACATAGCTGTATTGCTTGTAAAGATGTACATGTAAGGTAGCAAAGTTGCTGAAAACTCCTTTGCAGCTCTAGTAATGTACTTATTTTAGATGAACACTGAAAGCTGTACTGGACCACAAGATGTTTTCATTTTGTAATAAGCTTCAAATTGCTTTAGTCCATGTTTTGCAAACTGTGTAACAGTGTCCTGGGGTGCATTAAAAAGAGCATGGCCAGTAGGTCAAGGGAGGTTATCTTCCCCCTCTACTCTGTCCTGGTGAGGCCACATCTAGAGTACTGTGTCCAGTTCTGGGCTCCCCAGTTCAAGAGGGACAGGGACTACTGGAAAGAGTTCAGAGGAGGGATACAAAGATTATCAGGGGCCTGGAGCACCTCTATGATGAGGAAAGGCTGAGAGACCTGGGTTTGTTTGGCCTGGAGAAGACTGAGAGGGGATCTCATCAATGCTTATAAATATCTAAAGGACGGGTGTCAAGAGGATGGGCACAAGACAATGGGCACAAACTGGAACACAGAACATTCCATCTCAACAGGTTCCTGCCTGATGAAGCTGCAAAGCTGAACACTCTACAGTCTGGGAAGAAGACACCTTCCTCAGGAAGAAGACACACGCAGAAAAATCAGCAATGCTGAATGGTATTCACATAATTCCAAGAAAGAAGATGATTTCCTCACCCAAATCAAACGAGTTTTCAGCAGTCATCATCAGCACCTCTTGTAATAATCTCCTTGACTGTTTACTTTGCCTTGGACTTCCATTAGAGATGTGTTCCTCATAGTTTGTGATGCTTAAAGGAAACCTGCCTTCCTCAGGAAAAGCACAACTGTAACGTTTCACAGATGCAAACTTCCCAGTAGTCAAAATGGGAGATTCTCCATCAACAGAATCAGTTTTATCTGAATTTAAAACATTTGTTAATAGTTTAGATATAGAAATACAGTGTTTTCCTTCATTACAAACATTAAGGTGCACCTTCTGTTCTACAAATAACCCGCTGAATTCGTGCAGTGTTCCATTCTAACACAGTCAGCCACATCAGGTCACTAAAAACCTTTGCATTACCCAGTTCATGGATTGGACAGGTTAAAAGATTATACAGGTCACAGACTTCTCAAACAATAACTTTTAACTCAACTAAAATATTTCTTCCAAAAAAATTAAAACAAATTGGTGAATTTGCTATGTGGAAAAAAAAAAAAACATTCAGTAATTTTTCCAAATGCAGAGACAATATAACTTCTCTGCTCTGGCTTAAGACTTATTTTCTTCCCAACCTGCCCCACAAAACAGCCCTCTCTGATCACACAATCCAATAAAAACCTCAAGTTCAACTTTTTACTACGTACCATGCCCCACAATTAGATAATATAGGAATAAATCACCTGTGCGTCATAACGGGATTATACAGCAAATGAGTATTCTTTACTCTAGAATTCCACTGGATAATATTTCAGAAAACTTTTTTGCTGTGTATTTTGATTTTTAACCTTTTTTTAAATTAAGATGTGTAACACTAAGTCAAGTGCTTTTGAGACTACAAATATATTCTTCAATAAAAACTTTCACCAACAAAACTTGTCATCTAATCAAGATACTAAATTAGTCCAATAAGAATAAACTGCATAAACTGATGCTGACTGGCATTAATTACTTTAATTAAAAAATATACATAGCAGATGAGTCATTTTACTTAAGATGAATGCCAGCCTGACAGGCCTACTCAGACTGTTCTGCTTAGCCTTTTTAAAAATCACTGCTACAATATGAAAACTTTTGCAAAATATGCATTAAATTCTAGCTATGGAGAGAGTTAAATAAATTGAAATGTTTACACTGAGAAAACATCAGTTTGTTGTATCTGTTACTGAATGTTCCTTACAGAGAATTACAAAGCACTGCATGCAGACTGAAACAAACAGACTTGGAAAACACTTGCTTTGTGTAGTTGCTCTCCCAAGATTTTTACAAAAAGAGTGTTTTGTAATAGAAAAAAAAGTTTTTTAGAAATGGTCATAAAAAAATCTGTAGAAACTTGATACTAAGTCCTTATTTAAAAGATTTCACACTCACTTTCTTGGTACTCTCTAAAGGTAAGCCTCTAAACACCTTCCATCAACTCTGATGCTTCTCTTCACAATTATTGTACAATTGTCTGCCTACACCAAACCTGCCCAGCAGGAAAATCAACAGGGAACTTAAGGCACAGAATTATGGTGAATCTTCTTTTCTTGGTGAATTTTTGTTTTGATTATGTTTTTCTAGACCAACACCGACAGGATAAGCTTTCCCTATAACTATAACTCACTTTGCTAGTATATGAGTTATACCTTAAAATAAGGCAACAGTACCAGCTATTATTTCACGATCAACCATCTCAAAATCTTTTCAGATTAAATTTCCTCCAATCTGTATTTCTTAGGAACAGCAGCATTTACTATATATTTTTATATCCATCCATACATTACCTGCATAAGAAACGTTGCAACTCTTGGGTGTGTCTACCTCTGGAATAACACTAAGTTCATGTTGTTCCAAGTCAAGCCCTAACTTAACTTTTGTCACAGGTGGTTTGGAAGATCTCCATTTCTGTTCTTTACACAGAACTTTCTCGGACTGGTCTGTAAAATAAAGTTTTGCAGTTTAAATTCCTCTAGCATGTTGCAATAATATATATATATATATATATCAAATTAACTTGGGGAGATGGAAGAGAACTTCATCTCAGCTGCAAAATGAGAAAAATTATAATGAGAAGTACTATAGAGCCTTACCAGTTTGCTCAGCTGAACCGATGCACTGTGAAATCATTTCACTTCCATGAAATTTACTCCTGCCACAATTCTCTTGCCGGTGCTTTCCTGAGTCTTGGAAAAATTCAGTCCTATTAATCCAGTCAGGCTTTTGTGCCTCTGTCATTTCTTCATTTGTGCGGATATGTCTCACCTTAGTGGAGGGGGGAGTGAGGGGGAGCAACTGTATATAACATTATTTTACACACATTTATCAAACCAGCATTTTTGGGGGTGTGTATTCCATTCAGGACAACATTGGGCCCTTTGAGAAAGTAATTCAAGTATGCAAGGTACTGAACAGACTTGTTTGGCTTACAAAAACACTTGGACATACAGATATTCTATTTAGCTCCACAAGCCTAATGTGCTAAAAACTAATTATTTACATTTTCAGGGCCTTTGTTAGATTAGATCAGAGTACTCAGCATATTGACCAGGAACAACTCCTGAAAAGTCTGCTCCTAGTTTTTCAACTGAATTTAGGAATTTTAGTTGTTTGGAGACTGTAAAGCAAGAGACAGGGACTCTAGGCAGCAGCCATTTTTCTAAGATGGCTTCTGTTTATACATATATATTAAAAAAAAAAAAAGAGGGTAAAAGGAGCTTCTTTAGAAACTCAAAAATAAACTTGGTTTTTTCTTCCGTTACCCAGAAACAAGCAAAATTACAAGGCAAGATTGCAGCTGCCAAACAAACTTCCTAACACATACACATAAAAAGACAAACTTAAAAAAATAATCTATTCAAAACACTTATTATATCCTTTGAGGTACTGCTTAAATATTTTAACACAAGAGCCATTCTACATAGAGCTGCATTTCTAGAGCTGAAAAAAACCACACCCAGAGATATTTCAGACAACATAACTATTTCAATCAGCATTATGTTCAGCGACCAAGCACAGAAGTTCATACTATTTCTGTTAGACTGAACAAAACTGCGCTCTGGGGGCTTACAGAAAAGAACTACTGATTACAAATCACAAGTCCTAGTTAAAGTTTTCATTATGGTAAATCACCTAAAACTATCAACACTCCATGGGATACTTTGCTAATTGGTAGGATTCACTCTTAAGTTTGATCACCTACTAGATGGCTCCCAACGCAAAGCATTTATAAAGCTTACCTTCTTGTTCAGAAATTCTTTCAAAGCCTCATGCTGCCTCTGCATCTGTTCCTTCAATTTATCTTGCTTCTCTAACAGTAGTTGTTCTTGTATTTTCTGCCTAGAAAGAAGAGCTTCTCTTTGTGCATCCAGCTGCTCTTGCAGTTCTTTCAAATACTTTTGCTGAGCTTGGATGGTTTCTGATGAGGCCAACACTCTGTCCCTTAAATTCAGTATATCAGAATAATTTAACAAAGACGCATTTCCCGTTTTGGATATCAAGCATTCCTCAGTGTCCTGGGCTTTAGAATCTTCATGAGATGAAGTCACAGGCTTGGAAAGTTTGAGAGGCTGTTCAAAGCTTGTTTTGCTGGCGCTCTCTGCAGATCCTTGCCGATACGCCAGAGAATCAACTGAGGCTGCCTGAACTATAGGAGATCCCTTTGTTGCTGGCATGAGGGGCATCTTATGTGGAGGCTTTTCTCCAGCTTCAGTGTCTGTTTGCTGGTTAGACATCTGAGATGCCTCTTTAAAGTGCACTGTTTCTGAAGGCTCAGAGGAATCTTCTGCAGGCAAAACAAATTTAACGTGTTGTACACGTGCTTCTGGTTGTGTTCTCACTGCAGTGACATCTTTCATGACTGACCCTGATGGTAACTGGAACTGAGATGGTTCTCTGACACGATTACTGGCGGTTTCCAACATTCCCACTTGTTCCTGTGAAGGACAGCCACACAGCAAGCAAAACTCTCCACGCTTCACCTTTGATGCTCCTGAAAATCGCACATGTTTTCCAGGACAAACGTGATGCATTTGCTCTTCGTGTTTCTGTGGAGATGTTTTTTCCAACATACACGATGTTCCTGAAAACACAGGCACTGACCGTGCACGCTCTTGTGCATGAACTTGTTCAGATGGCTGGTGGCATGCTGGTTGCACTCCTTGCCTCTGCAGAAGTGGTTCTGAGACAGGCTTTAAACGAATTGATTTTGTTTCCACAAAGCCTGGCAGTGCTGCAGAAGTAGACAAGTATCTTTGCTTCAATTTATTCTGATACTCCTGTAGACGCTTTCTAGCTTCTTCAAGGGTCTGTTTGTGCAGCCTGAACAGAACGAAAACATGAATCATTCCAGAGTGGTGCAAAGACAAACACCAATTTCAATAATCAAAGAAGTTCAATTTATTTTAAAACAAGCAACTCAGACTTCCATTTCATAAAGGAGTTTACCTGTTTTGCTGTAGAAGGCGCTGTTGATAATTACGAATCACCTGTAAATGGCTGTCTTCTCCAGGACTCTTGGTTTCTGATACAGCAGTATTTCCAGTCTAATCAAAATATAATAATTTTAGGTGCACATATACAACTAACTCACAGAAAATTACTATGCAACCTTAAGCTGTATGTTCTTTCTCCTAAGTTTACAGAAACCACTCTGTACCAGGGTTTGAAGTCTGTGAGATTTCAGCCCGAGGCAACAAAGCTAAAGCAGTTTCTAGACCAGATGGCCTCCAGCTACAGTCTGCCTTGGCAAGTGGAGCACACGCCCTCAGAGTCAACAGCTCCTACAGCAGCTTCGCTCAGAGGTAAGTGTAACCCAGTCTCAGAGTCAACAGCTCCTACAGCAGCTTCGGCTCAGAGGCCGCCCAGCATTATTATGCAACCTTAAGCTGTATGTTCTTTCTCCTAAGTTTACAGAAACCACTCTGTACCAGGGTTTGAAGTCTGTTGCCTCGGGCTGAAATCTCTTTACCTGTTTTGCTGTAGAAGGCGCTGTTGATAATTACGAATCACCTGTAAATGGCTGTCTTCTCCAGGACTCTTGGTTTCTGATACAGTAGTATTTCCAGTCTAATCAAAATATAATAATTTTAGGTGCACATATACAACTAACTCACAGAAAATTACTATGCAACCTTAAGCTGTATGTTCTTTCTCCTAAGTTTACAGAAACCACTCTGTACCAGGGTTTGAAGTCTGTGAGATTTCAGCCCGAGGCAACAAAGCTAAAGCAGTTTCTAGACCAGATGGCCTCCAGCTACAGTCTGCCTTGGCAAGTGGAGCACACGCCCTCAGAGTCAACAGCTCCTACAGCAGCTTCGGCTCAGAGGCCGCCCAGCGGCAAACTCAGGGAGCAATGAGCCAGGAGAGCCACATTTTCAAGGCAATCAGACTCTCAGAAGAGCACAGGTTGTGCAAATGATTCCAGATTTTTTTTAAAAAAAAATTACTCTCCTTCAACATCTTCAATAAATTCATCTCTTTTAAGCAGCTGTTTGAGATTTAGACAGACAAAAACATAAGGTGGCTTTTTTTTGTAAAATCTTTTCCCCCAAAGATTTCTTTCTTTCTTGAAAAAGGATACGTGTACATGTATAATCATTATATGACTCTAACACGATTTCACTAACAGGTATTTTAAACAGACACGCTGTCTCTGAGACCATGCAAAGACAATCCAATATTCAAAGTCCAGCGATACCATGTGAAATAAAAGGTTCTACATTAGACAAAAGGAAGCTTTTACATGTACGAACGTCTGATTTGACGCCTAGGAAATAAAAACTGATTGTCTTGACTGATATAATTTAAAATTGGCAAAGAGTGCTCTTGATTTTTATATGGATAATTAAAAAACTACACACAATTATCTACAATTCTTCACCTCATGTTCCACTTTGTTCCGCTGATCTGCGGAAGGAACACTGTGGCTTTGTACCAGCTGACCTTGCTCTTCCTCCTCTTTTTTTTTCTTGGCCTCCTCCAAACAGGTTTGCATTTGGATCTTCAGAAGATCAGCCTCCAAGCGTGCTCTCTCTTCTTCAAGTTGTTTAAGCAAGGCCAGCTGTTCCTGTTTCTGTTGCTCTATTTGCTCATTCTATTGAGAAGAAAAATGAGGGTGATTCTCCAGAACTAAGTGACAAAGAAATCAAAGACCCCTCACACACATGACCACACACAAAACTTCGTTCCAACCTACAGCAGAAATTTTATTGCTTGTGACAGGCATTTCCAAATCGTAAGAGGCCTTTAAAAATAGTTCCAAAGTTCACAATAATAACTTTGCTTTACTAGCTAGATCTTTCTGATATCCCTGAGTCCATTTGCCTTTGCACTATTATCTGTTCTCAAATTAATAGAATGGATAAAACCAGAATGTATCTATCTTGAATGGTTAGATTCTCATTTTCCAAAGACTGCAAAAGAAGTCCTTTTCTTAAACTGAATTCAGAAGTCTACTTTGCATTTCATAGAGCTTTTCATCGGGAGTTCAACACATTTAAATGTTAATTCAAGCCTTACAAAATTTCTGAAATAGCTAACATATAACCACTTAAAGAGCACACCATAAATCACCAAAGTGTTTATTTTTATTCTCTTTCTGTGTACCTATCGGCTACAAATCACTCAGATCCATGTGTAGCAACAGGATATATACTTTTAGAACGGAAGCGAAGAAAAATTTCAAAGTATTGGCAACAATGAAGTCAACAACAGCCTTTAATGAGACAGTCAGAACGGGGCTGTCAGGAAAAGCAAGCTATGAAAAAGCCAGACCCGAGAACAGTTAATGTGGATGTGGCAATATATACACCTGGGCACGTGCAAAGTGAGAAAGAATGTTAAATAAAATAACTATATTTTTAGAGAGGACCTGCTGCTCCTCCCCACCCCCCAAAACAATACCATTTTGGCATTTTTGTTTCCTGAATTTCTGAACATTAACTCTGCAATTTAAGGCTGCACCAAGACCCGAATTTCAGCTTTTTTTTTTAAATTGATAAACCATGACATAATAGCTAGTAGGTCTCTATGGATACAATAAAAATTGAAAATATAATGTAGCATATACACAATACATATAAGGAAATAACACAAAATTATTATTGTCTAAATATAATAAATGTAGCGTTCCCATAGACACAAAATACTTTCTGCATTTGTTTCCTTGTTAATTTAAAAAAAAAAAAAAAGCAAGAAAACCAAAGCACTCAAGGTTTGTAAGTTTTCCCTGTCATATAAACACAATCCCACAGACCCTCCTATGTGATTACACGGAGTTAGCAAAGTTTTCAGATTTGCGTATTGTTGTCTACATCCTCCCTAAAGCAAAGGTATTAATCTGTAATTGGGATTCTCATTTAGTCATAGGGTGGCATCTCTCACCTATAACACTTACTAGATTTTAAGAAACTGGGGGTTTTGTCTCTATTCTTAACTCCAGCTAGAGCTCAGTCATTTTTAAGAAGCTAATACGCAAAGGCTAGGTATAGAAAACATTACAGGGAAAGTGTCACAAGCTTGTTAAAAGGGTCTATGTTGCTGCATAACTGGAAACATTTTAAAGTCTTCTGCAAATTACTTGGTTTTTTTTAACCATAACTGAGATAGGAATAAGTAAACACACACTTACCCACTTTTGTCTCTCCTTTTCCAATCTAATTTTAGCTGCTTGTTCTTGAGGATGGATTAGAACTGAATTTTCAGCTGCAACATTATTTTCCAACATTTTCACAGAGTCTAAAATACACATTATTTAACTGTAATTGCAGTCAGGAAGAGCCTTGGATCTTCTTTACATCTTCCTTTACAGCTTCCCAACCTCTCTAAACAAAATGCGTAAGTTGCTCTTGAAAAGATTACCATCTCCATCCCACTACTCTGTCTCCATAAGCTGAAAAAATAAGGTTTTTTTGTATTATTTAAGCCTTTCATGGCCTTTATCACCTGTCTTTCTTGAATATACAGTAAGGGTCCAGCTCCAACGGGACTGAAGATTGCTTCCACCAAGATTACTTGGTAGCCTAATAGCAAGGTCATCCTGAGGAATCAGGAGGAACACACATTAACTTCCTGGAACAAAGAGGGCCTAAAACTGGCATCTGCTGGACAAATGATCTAACATTTGGCTATTGCACAAAAACTAAGTCTTTGTCCTGTACTATCAGCTTCAAATAGCAGCAAATTTTCCCCAGAGGCATGCTTTCACTTCATGCTGCAGTCTCCAATCCCCAGGCATTATGCTGGTGTATCCATGTACACCATTGAACTAAATCACTTCATCTCATTTGATAAAAACCACACATCCTATGAAAAAAAACAAAAGACCAAACTTGATCACTTTAATGCTTCAGAAACCCCACTCAGTGTGTAAGTTCACCAACTTTAGCACTAGCATAACCAAAAAAGCATGAAGGACAGAAATTGGAAGCAACACCAAAATTATTTGGCTACCAAACAAAATGGAACATCTAAATGGCTCTCTGTCTTACGCAGAGGCTTTTCAGAATGGTGCCTAGAAGCAGAAAAAAACCATGATTTCAGACACATCAGCTCGTGCCTGTCTTGTGCATTTCTAGCTGTGAATCTCTGAATCATAGAATCATAGAATCATTGAGGTTGGAAGAGACCCTTGGGATCATCGAGTCCAACCATCTACCCTACTCTACAAAGTCCTCCCCTACACCATATCCCTCAGTACCGCATCTAAACGTCCCTTAAACACAGCCAGGGACGGTGACTCAACCACCTCCCTGGGCAGCCTGTTCCAATGCCCAACCACTCTCTCTGTGAAGAATTCCTTCCTAATGTTCAATCTAAACCTACCCTGTTGGAGCTTGAGCATCTGGCTTTTCCAGTTCAACAGGTACAGAAATTCAGTGCCCAGTTTTGCACTGAGGATTCTGCTCCTGGAGGGTAACACCTATTAAAGCATGGCAACACAAAGCATGGCAACAATTTGGGCAAGATTTAAAAGATACAAGGCTACTTTGGACCTCTTTCCTCCACCAGATCCTAATGAGCAATTTGGGCATAAGAGCAAAAACCTCTCCTATTTGTGGTTTCAAGAAATCCACAATACACTGTGGGCAAAGATAAGGGAATTGTACTTTCTGGTAATGTGCAAACCACCACTAAAAATTCATTGAACAGTTTTGTTACAGTTGACCCTTACAAGTCTTTTTTTTCCTACACAACAAATTTTGATGCAAGTATGTGTTACACACCTTTGGCTTCACGTGCTGTATTTTTCTGTTGCTCACGGTTCAGTTCTAAATCACATAATGGTCTCTCTTCACTAGCAATTGTGCCTGATTCAATAGTCTCAATTTCACTTTGAATCTCCTTCTCACTTTTTAATGTCCACTCCTCTTTCTGGCTTCTAATCTTGTTCAGCAGTTTCTTTAAAGCAAGTTTTGACTGTGGTTGATGAGTTTTTGCTTCTTCACGATCTATAAAGAATATATACTGTTAAGAGTTTTGGGTAATGAATATCTTCACATCATAAAAAAACAAACCTCATTTTTTTTTCTTACTTGCTTACACAGCTAGGCAGATCTCAGGTATATTACCAAGTTTTAAAAGCTTAACAATATTTTCTCTTACCTGCAAAAGAGAAGCAGCAATTTGTCCCTGCATGCTAAAAAGGAAGGCTAGGCTAGTTGTAGTGTATCAGACTACTTCTAGACTGCACTGTTGCAAAAATAAGCTCCCTGCCTGCTCTGTATTAATGCTGGCAACATAATGCACCACAGACTATAAAACATTGTGCCAGCAAAGGGATGCAGCAGAAACGCTTGGCCAAGCAGCAAAGTTCACTAACACACCTCTTGTTTATGTCACATCACCCTGTACATGCCACAAACAGAGAGTGTATACACACACACACCTGTTGCAGCATAAAGGACATCAATAAGTAGATTTTCACACCAAGTCAAGCTTCAACTTTCAAATATTTCAAAACACAACATGAAAGATATTTAAGTTCACATGCCAGCATCATCCCATAATTTACAATAATTATATACAAATAATTATGGCAACTAACAGTGTAGTTCTTAAAACAACTGAAAATAATTCTGACTATACTAATGAACTGAAGTATATTAGAAATAAAAGTCACATTTTCACATTTAAATTCTTAATCATTAGACTTATCATCCATTATAAACATCATAAACCACTTGATAATTAAATACTTCAGAGGCATTAAGGAATTTTAGTCCTTCAGGTATTTTAGTTAATACTAAAGTTAATTTGATATATTAAATCTCTAATACACTAAATCTCATCTCTTCTGCTATAAAACCAAAAAGTTTAATATAAATGTAAAGTTTAAAAGCTTTACTTTCTGATCCTTTGGGGATCTCCTCTTCTATCATCTGTCCCGACTCTTGCTGAGTATCACAAGCAGATTCTGGTTGAGTGTCACAAGCAGACTCTTGCTCCAAAGAGATATCAAGATCATTATCTCGAGATCTCTCAGAAGGGGCTGGCAAAGGCTGTGGCTCAAAGTGCACAATCAGGTCTTTTTTCATTTCTAATTAAAAGAACACAGCCACATAAGATGACCAATTGGAATGAAAAGCAAACAACATTGCAAGACTACACTCATGATACAAATCCCCAAGAAGGACAAACATCAATAGCTTGTTTCACAACAGATTTAATCCAACTATTTATTTTTCCCCTAAAAAAGAAGATTCAGAATTGTTTAGATCACTAGCCATCTACTAATTCAGAAATTCCACAGGGTTTCCCACTGGAATATGCTGTGTCTTTCAAAATAGAAGTTTCTGTGATAAAAGGCTCATCTTTACATAAAAATTGCAGACAGTGATCCATCACGTGGTCCAGGTGTGAAATCCTAGAAGATGAGTCAACCATTCTCCCAGGATCACCATTACCAACCAAGGGGGTTACTGCCTACCAGGGGTGTGGGACACATGGGAAGATCATATTGGGATTCTATGCTTGTTATAGATATTTAGGGGAGGAATCAAAGGTAGGGAAAGGAAAGGATCAAGTTAGTCTGGGGAGGAACAAGTGTGAGGAAAAATACATGAATAAGGGGATAAAAGGGGCCAGTCAGTACACTTGTCTGACTGTGCCTGACGATCTGTCTTGTCTTCTAACCAAACTCCACTTCTAGCTGTTCTCCTTGGTGATGAGCCCTCTATTTCGTATGCATATGTGCACATGGATATATAAGGGCCAGCAACTGGAGTGGGGACCAAAAGCCACAAGGGCACCTGTGTCCAGAGTGCTGCTACATGCAGAGACCAGACTGAGCACATATTATGTGGCTAAGAGGATCAGCAGGCAGTGGCTAGCACATTGCAAGCTACGCTAGAGAGCAAGAACGATAGAGGCTTCGGATGTAGGTATCAAGCAGCCCTAAGACTGGGCTGGATACAAGAGAGGGCCAGGGGATTTGCAAGTTGGCTAGTGGAAGGATCAGAAGATCCAAGCATCCAAGCCAGCTCCAGGGGACACCACGGGGTCTCAGGGTCAACGTAGAAACCTGCCAGCACACATGCATGCATCTCAGAGAGAACTGGAGACCAGAGCATCCAGGGTCAGCTACTGGGTAGACTGAGTATTTAAGGTAAGAGCCCACAGGGATCCATAGCATGTGTGTATTTGTGCATACACTCACATACCCAACCGGGTCTGTAGCAACAACTGGAGCAGAACCCTGGGGGTTCACATGCCCAGGAACCAGCAAGTGGAGAGACTAAGGATCCAGGGCCAGCTGCTAGGGAGGGCGAGTGTCTAAAGCCACTTACTGAGTGGTCCATAGCACATATTTGAGCAGAGCAGTGTGCAAGAGGACACGGAGAGGTAACTGGAAGGCTACAGATGAATTACTGGGCAGACTGGGTGTCTAAGACCTGTTACTGGGGGATCCATAGTGTGACAAGTGGAGATCTGAGATGCAGGGAATGACTACTGGGTAGATGGAGTACCTTGCAGTCCTTCCAGCTGCTGGAGGGATCCATACTATCTATACAGACATATATCCCACTAACAAGCCTTATCTGGATCAGCCAGAGCAGTGAACAGGATGAGGCCATTTGTGCTGTTTGTGTTTAATGCAAGTGCTGTGTTGTCCTCTGTGGCCATGTGTGTGTGCTGAAAGCCTTTTTCTGTGTGTGCCTGCTGTGAATACATACAGAGCTTGCCACCAGCTGGACCCAGGAACAGGCAGCTGCAGCAGCCTCTCCTCTACTGGGCTACCAGATTCAGCAATCTGCAACAGATTACTTACTCCTGTCTTCACTGTACATATCTTCAAATGCAAACTCCAGTTCTCTCTGCCATTCTTCTTTTATTTCCACACGTTTGTATGCAGGCACAAAAATCTGAGGTGGCATCTGCGCTACAATCTGTCTCCTGCGCATCCGATCCATATTCTGCATTTGCTCGAGTTCTTTCAGAAGCCTCTCCCTGTCCTTCAAGTATAGGAAAGGGATAACATAAACATTTAGTGTTCACATTCAGACAGCCATATGTGAGGACTTATAAAATACTCCCATGTGGTTACCAGGAAGTTTGCTTAATCCTTAACATTGGAAGCTTATGCTAGGAAGAAGGTGCTTCCTTGGGAGAAGGCACTTTCTCAGGAAAAGGCTGCATCCGACCTATCTCAATAGTTCTGTTTTTACTTCTTAAAGGGAACAGTTTGAATATTTCCAGGACTTATACCCTGACAGAACCTCAGTCTTTAAGGTAAAAACTTTGAAAAGTCTTCCAAAAACAAAAAATGAACCTTCTTAGTAATAAAGTAATCTTTTTCCCTGAAGCACAAAATAACCAACACCAATTAAAGCTGATGTGAAAAAGTATAGCTCATCAACTATTAAAAGTTTCTTTTGATTATTACCACTTGGTTAATAGCTGGTTAAAAATTAAGATAACAAAAATTAAAGGATATTCTTCTAAAGGTTCTTAATCTGTGTGCTTCCATTCTTCCTCCTTCCAGATAGCCAAAAAGAAGGAAAAAAAAGTTTGATGTTTAAACACATTCTGAAAACTTTGTTTAGTCCATCAATTTTCCTATAGTAAAGCAATTTTAGTTACAAATCAGCTACTTTAATTTAACACTGGTCATTCTGACATTAAAACCAGGCCCAGCTGCTTTGCCCACCTGAGCCAAATGGACCTTCTTCAAGGCATGACTTCCCCTGAGATGCGCCTTCTCAAGCTGCTCCCTTCTCTCCTTCTCTGCCTCTCTCTGTAGTTCCTCCAAACGCTTCCCTTCTTCCGCAGCAGCCAACCGAGCATCTGGCTGGTAGTCAATCAACAGTTTAGTCCATGAAGTTCTTTGCGGCAGTTTAAAGCTTATGTAACAATAAATAAACGAGTAATTCAGTAGCAAAAGCAGTTTAAAAAAAAGCATACAATGCCATAAGAGCACCCCCAAAGGTTTATAATTCTCGGTTGCAAGCAGGACCAAACTAGATTTTACCTTTGGAAAAAAACTGTATATTTACATGTTCCATAAGTGTAGGTGTCAAAGTGTTCTAGTTTCAAGCTGTACTAGGGACAATCATTTGTATGAATTGTTATAGCAGAGAGGGGTGTTTTTTTTCCCTACAATACAAGGTAAAGTGAATAATACTGTCATATTATAGATTGACTACTTTTATCCTCATGGTTTTCTTTTAAACAAGAGGAAGAAAAAAAAAAACAATCCAAGAGCATTTTCATTCTCATTTGGGAAACCAGAAAAAAAAAAAGTCTGCAATTTTAAAATAAGAAAAACCTTATTAATACATGAAAATTAAAAAATACTTAAGTAAAAAAAAATTAATATTATTACACATAAACAAACCTATAAATATGAACATTTTGGAATTTTCCCAAGACAAAGCTGAGCAAACCATAGCATCTCCTCTTATTTGGATGGTCTTCTTATTGGAAGGTCTAGTCCTTTCAATGTTAAGAAAACCTAAAACTTCATGAATGAAAACTTCATGAATTCACTGAAAAAACTATTCATAAAACCAAATTTATTGAGAATGCTTCTCTAGTCTAAAAGAGGCTGATCCAGAACAGGACCTTAGATTGTGGTCTCACATCATCGATAAACCGAACTATTGTTTGGTTCACTTTTCAACAGCATTACCTTAGTTCAAAAATCACCTCTAAAAGCTCTTGCTCAAACTGACACTTTTCCAGGTCCTCCCCTTCTTCTGATGTGATTTTGCCCTTTGTCTGAGTGTACTGTAAATGTGAGTAAGCTTTCCCATCTGGGAAAAACCTATTCACCATTCTTTTCCCTCCAAATTAAACTTCTGCCATTTTGGCAAACTGAAACCATGGATTGCACGAGCACAAATACGAGGTAAAGACTGGGAGTACACAACTAAAAGAGGGGAAGACAAAAAAGCAGGGCAACTGCAAGTTATCATAAACCACAAAGCAGAAGGTCTGTCTGTCCTAGTGTTGTGCCAGTCTTGTGAACTCACCCCTTACAGAGGTCTGTTCACATGGGAAAGGCTGTCAGGTGTGATCCTGCAAGCAACTGAGCACATAACAAGCCTCCCAGGTTTCCCCAACTCAGAGCCCAGTCAGTAAGTTGTGTAATGGCAGCTTTATACAAGTTCGTGTTTTTAAACAAGTTCTAGAAAACTGAACTGCTGTTATGCCCACACTGTATGCAGTATAAAGAAAGATCTATAGAAACATGGATTTAAATCACCTGCTCTCCATCCAATTCTCTGTCCACGTAAGGTTCTGAAATATGGTAACGTGTAACAGAAAAGTTGTCCGCACCGTAGGGCTTCACGGCAGGAGTCTTCTTCACTTCAAAATTCTAGGACAAAAATGGGCACGTACAGCTGTATCAGAGAACAGCTTCTCCAGCAAAGCAACTAAACAGAACATTAAGTGACCTACGCACTTAAATCAAAAAGAAAGCCACCCCTCCAAATTCTCTCCTGAAAATATTGTTTAAAACTTTACATACTAATTAATAAATCACAACAGCACAAGGCAGTTCTAGAGGACTTAGCAAGTGAGAGCATCTAACAGCCTATGGCAAACTTCTCCACACAAACTGACATTCGTAAGAGAACTCATGTTTCAAAAGCATCACCTTAAAAGCACTTGAGGTTAATGTACTAATACAAATCCCACTTAAAACAGCTGTCATGCTCACCTTAAAGTAGAACAACCACAGAACCACAATATAATTATACCTAACAGCAAAGTAACACTTCTCAAGCACAGACTTTCTCTACAAAATTCAGAACCCATTATGTCCAATTTATTAGTTGACCAGATTAAAAAGCATTTTTCATAACTTCACTGAAAACTGTCTATTCATATATTCATCCCTGGAAGTGTTCAAGGCCAGGCTGGATGGGGCTCTGAGCAACTGGGACTAGTGGGAGGTGTCCCTGCCCATGGCAGGGGGTTGGAACTTGATCTTTAAGGTCCCTTCCAACTCTAACCATTCTGTGATTCTATTATGTAATATACAGGGGTTTGGGTTTGTTTGTTGTTTGGTTGTTTTTTTTTTAATTTAAACTTTTGGGAGCACCACCACATTTCAACTCCTGTCTGAAAGAGTTTGAACACTGAGCAACCAGACCCTCCCTCTTCTTTGGCTCAGGCTGGTGTTGACAGTAGGGAGGTAGCCAGGTCAGGTAACCAAGTGCTCTGTAGGACCTCCTTTTGTACTTCTAACATCTCCTCCATTAATTTTCTCTCAGTTTCCTTTTCCCTAGACTCTCTCCTAAAAATGGATTCTTACCCACATTAACTAAAACATCAAGTTTCATAGCCCGAGTGGTTTAAAAATAACATGACCGTAAATAAATGCACGTACAAGAAGAGCAGCATTAAGTCTCAGGAATATCTTAAACTTATTTCTATGACATCTAAGATTTAAGATATCTAAGACGAGGCATACAAAATTTCAGTATTTATTATCTCTTGCTATTTTATAAGGTTTGTAGAAAGTTTAGTCCTTAAATTAAAATCCCATGATACACAACTACTTTTTACCTTACCAACACAACTTCAGTAACGTATTTTATGGTTCTTAAACAAGTGCATGTTATTCTAGTAGGAAGGAAAAAAAGACACGTGCAAATAAAAGCACACCAAAAATTTCACGTTTATTTGTACATAATGCTGTTTTAAAACTGCTTTCTTAATCAAAATGATTGTAACCACAACACTTACAGACACTGATTATAGCTCTGATGAAGTCCCATGCCTAAACCTCATTAGCCAGATCACCGACTGTTTGACCTACACTGTGTTACTTAGAGAATGTATAATTAAACCTCAGTCTTCTGAATTATTAAAAAAATATAAATGCAACAAATCAGTAATTAATTATTCTATTTAATCAAGCAAATCTCCAGAATTCTATTCGAAAGCTATGGAGATGTGAGAATTATGTTGGAGGCTACAGTTTTCCAACTAATGTCAACAGCAATTTAGGTTGAAATAAAATAATACTTGTAACATTATTACACCTCATGGTGTAACCACTGCAGGTAAGAATCTGTCAATATTTCCATCTAAAGGTTTGTAACTCCCCCCTCCTTTTTTTTTCTGCTAAAAAAGTAAATGATTCTACACTGAAATCTGGCAAAACTCAGCATTATGAAATAGAAAAAAACCCACAAAACAACCCAACTCTAAAAACATGAATACTTAGGAAGAGTACAGTAACATTGTTAGGTTGTATTATTTCCATTACCTAAAAATCTTGCAGATCATATAAAAAAAAAGTTCACAAGAACTCTCTCGAGATACCTGTCAACAAAATGGTGTTTACAGTTTAACTTCAATTAAGTAGCTTAACTTTGTCTAACTGAGGCCTCAATTCATAAAAGCCATCCTTCTGAGAATTAAACTCGATTATGACGATATACCTAGAATAAAAACACTTCTTTTGTAACTGGGTAAAGTAACAATAATAGGAGTATCTTCAGAAAATGTTTCTTATATTCTAAGTAACCCTGCAAAGAACACTGCCCTAGCTCCATTTTATGAAATTTTATTCAATTGTTATTGCAACAGAGCATCAGATTATGATTATAGTTATGTTTAATAAGCTCTTTATGTAAATTGATTCAAGAAAATACCCATGCTTATGCAGATGACCTTGTAATTTGCTGCAATTCAAAGGATTTAGAGTAAAGTTAAGCAATTCAAATCCACTGCCTTTAAAGTAATGCATTTGCAAGACAAAGCCCCAGATTTCCTCTCCCCTCTTCCCCCCTGAAATTGACAGTGAACATCTTTTGTTTTCTCCCTCTACACAGATCTAGGAATAAACCACAGCTCTAACCATGTCTGATCTGCCAATTACTTGCCATTTACTTCATGCAGTACATAGCACCCAGTTACTCTTCCAATAAAATAACTTTATTCTTTACCCTGTGCCCTCCCAGCAACATAGGACTATGACAAAAGCCTTAAAATTCATATAGATATGAAAACTAGGAAAGAGTTTCAAAGTCAGCTAGTCTTTACATGGATCAAACTGACATACTGTGCTGTATTTTAAAGAATGCAACGAAACCTCTTTCCTCAACAAAAATCCAACATGGCTGCAGAATTGTTGATTCAATTTGCCATTACAGAGCATGAATTTATTAAAAAAAAAAAAACACAAACTTTATTGTAGAAAAGCCAAGTGTTTGAACATTCTGCTAAAAGCAGCTAAAATCATATTTGCTGAAAAGGTGAGTAAAGGACATTTGCATTTGTTGATGGGTGAAAATGCATTAAATTGTAGAATTTCAGGAAAGGAAGTTATGATTCTGCAAAATGAAACAGGGCACTGACCCAGACCTGTCGTCCAACACAATCATAAATGCTATTGTATCAGAACCTGGGGAAACCTGAACAAAGTTTTCTTGCTTGCTGTGTTGAAAAGACTACAGAATAAGAAGAAAACTCTGCTTTTGTAACATTGAAAGAGCGACGCGTTACTGAGGTTGTTAGATGAAAAGTATTATACAGTATTATGTCTTTTTAGATGTTATATCATCTCCAAATATGCATGTTAACTGCAGATAACTTATGGTCAGCAATTAGAAACTTGTTTGGATTTGGTTTTGTTTTGTTTTTATATAGAAAACAACATAAAACACATCCTAAACTGCAGAAGTTACCAAAAAGCAATGCTGCAGTATCTCATGCTTTTCCAACAATGCCAAACTGAGTAACACAAGCATGTGAAAACCAGGAAACACACAGTCAAAGTTTTAACTGATAGAGCCTGCTCTGCAGCAGATACACTGCAAACACGTCACGTGGAGCAAAGCAGAGAACAGCAACACACTAACCTATCCGTAACATGCTGGATGCAGCTGGGAATAGCTTTGATATCACTGTCTCCAAGAGGGACTAACATACCTTAATCTTTTCTTTTCTTATCAGTGGTCTGAATGTCCCTGAACCTGACAGTCTGAAAGGGCACAAAAACATGTAAGGCAACTTAAACTCTGCATTAATGAACTTCCATTAAATTTACTAAAAGTTATGCCAAAGTAAAAATGCATCTGATGTTCTTCCTGCAGTTCAGACCTGCAATCCTACAGTAGCTTCTACACCCAGGCAAGATCTCTCTGAAATCAAAGCTGCATGAAGAAGGTACAAAGTCGCCCCCTAAAAAGGGTACAGCATAGAATTAAAAATATGGTTTTTATCTACTTTCCTCCCCAAAAGACTTAGGTACTGTCTTTTCTTATAAAAAATTAAATTTTACTTTTCTTATAAAAATTAAGCAGCTTACCCTACATTTAGTATTCCCTATAAGAAACAAATAAATTGGAGGGGGAAAAAAAAAACCAACAGAAAAACCCACAGCTAAAAAAGGTAATTTTTATTACAGAACTAAACAAAATGGTACTACTGCATCACTGTGACAGAAGACTGAGGTTATGCTGAGAAAGATCATTGTAGAGTTTAATACCGCTGTGGCTATTAAATGGAAAAGAGATCATGATAAGTTTAAAAGACACATATATCCAGAAAAAAAATAAATTTCAGATGACAAGAAATAAAATCCACACATAAGAGATGAGAAATAATCAAATACCAAAGCTCAGTAGTAAGAAGTCTGCTAATGCATAATTCATTAATTTTCTTGATTTTTGCTGAAGCACTCTCCTTATAGTATGCAAATAGCAATTTTGGATATCCTGTTGCGATGAGTCAGACCAACAAATAAATCATTACATTACATGGTACCCTGAATTGTGATGGCAATCACATCAGGGCTACGTACCTCAAGAGGATGGGGCGGAGGCGGCGGCAGGCTCGCAACTTTGGCTGCTCTTTGTCTTTCCACTTCCAAAGCGTGTTTACGTGCATTTGTTCGCCTTGGCAAAAAAAAAAAAAACCACCAACAAAAACAAATACAAAAAAGGAGAAGGAAAATTATTCAAGCAGCAATGACAACACTGTGCAAAATAAAAGGCAGACCTAAAAATAAACAGCTTCTGAGGTACCTGAATTGAATGCTTGGGAGATGGGGATAGAGAAGCACACTGAAAAGTCAACAGAATTTATGCCAGAAGGCAGCACTGGAAAATTAATTTCTTGAAGTAATGCAAAAACGTTAATACACACAAGCTTCTAAAGAACAAAGCAAAACCCCTGCTTTTCACTTAAGCTTTCATAAAAGCACTGCATCACTTCAACATATTTTAATTGCTCAAGTGGGGACAAAACCAAGTATTAAATCGATTGGTCTCTCAGCTCTACTCAAGCACAACTATCCCCAGGAGTACATCGTTCATTTTTCATGCCACCTCAAGAGGGGGCCCATCTACTTTAAAAAAAAAAAAAAAAAACAAACCAAAAAAACACAACAAACCACAAAAAGCCAAACAAAAAAAAACACCCCAAAACAGAACAACCACCAAAACCAAAAGCCACTAAGAAGGAAGACCATGGTTCTTATGGGATATGAATTGTTTAGCATAAATAGGTTTTAAGTAGAATAAATTACTGTGGATAATAATTTATTGTGATTTGTGCTGCTTGCTTAACATTACTTAGTATGAATAGCTAGATTTGCTGAAACATTTAGGACATAAGAAAGATACTCTCAGTGCTCTTCCTAGCAGACAGTACAGTGTTGTTTAATCTTCTAGCATGGGAAAGCACTGGATGCCATACTGATGTTTTGGCAGTGTTCTTCTCAAGTCCAGGACTTTTCGATTCCCTGCGTTCTGCCAACAAGGACAGGTGCACAAGGAACATAAACCAGAAGATACAGAGGCTCCAGTCCCTGATGTAAACTGCAAATCAACAAAGTAAGAGCCTGCCCACCCCAACACAGAAAAAAAAATCCAATTAGATATTAGATGACCTCAGACCAAAAAATCACCATTGCACTAAAAGACATGTGGACAGTGCTTGAAGGGTGCATGAGGGGTAGGTGTAGAGATCACAAGGGTATAATTGCCCAGGGACACCTTTGTTCAGGGTTCTTCTCTTTGGAGGTACCCAACCCAGACTGCCCTTGCTGCTATACCTTCCAATTAAATTAATTATTTTATGAAATCTCACGCCAGTGACTCTGCTGTGAGAAACCTGGGGTCAAGCCTGAAGGAGGGAGCACACCTGAGAGCGTGTGCGAGACCATGAATGGTGTGTGACTGCTCAGGCAGCAGCTTCTCCTTTAACAGCTGCAAATGCCACAGGTCCTGTTTTCAGGTGTCATTTGTGTGTCACTGAACAGCTAGCTGTCAGTCAACAATCTGGACTGAAAATAGCAATATAGAGATGAACGGCTCCCCAGTCATTGAGAGTCTTTAAGGCCAGCTCATATAGTTGAATTTTTTGTCTTGGCTTTAAAACTACAATTCTTATCAAAATTCACAAGATTCGTCCACAAGCATTAATTCTCTAACCCATAAAATTTCAAAGATTAAAAAAGTTCCAAGCAAGAAGCACCAAAATTTTTGCCTTTCACCTTATGACATTGTAAAATTCATTCTATGCTTAATAAAACTAAATAACTATTGCATACCGGGCTTGCTCACGAAGCAATTTCTCTTTTTGGTACTTCTGTTCTTTCAGGGCTTTCCTGTGTCTCTTCTCTGCTCTTTGTTTCCTTTCCTCCGCTTGTTTTGCCAGAGCTTCTAAGTCAGGTTCCTTAACAACAAAATATTGCAAGCACTTAATACAGGGTCTTTTACTCACTTATACTATTATTGTGATATTTCACAGAATCACAGAATGATAGGGGGTTGGAAGGGACCTCTGGAGATCATCTGGTCCAACTCCCCTGCCAAAGCAGGTCCACCTAGAGCAGGTTGCACAGGAACATCTCCAGGCGGGTTTTGAATCTCTCCAGAGATGGAGACTCCACCACCTCTCCAGGCAGCCTATTCCAGGACTCAATCTCTCCAGAGATGGAGACTCTCCTCCTCATGTTTAGATGGAGCTTCCTATGTTCAAGTTTGTGCCCATTTCCTCTTGTCCTGTCACTGGGCCCCGGTGAGAAAAGACTGGCCCCATCCTCTTGACACCCACCCTTCAAGTATTTATAGGCATTATATTTCAAATTGAGTACTGCTGGCGATGATCACAAGCTCAAAATTACTTTCTACTGTAACAGAGTAACAATAATCTAAAGAATATTTTTTTGTTCTCTGCTATCTTCTTTACTCTCTTTTTCTCTATCACCAACAGCAGCCAATTTGCCACATTCTTTGGCCAGCCTAACCAAATAGTGACGTGGAAACCTTAGAATCTCTGTGCATCTCTTTGATAAAGAGTAATATAAATACACTTAAACATTTTAGCAAATGCTGATTAGACAGTACAGAGAAAGCGAGTTACTACCTTTCAGTAATTAACTACAAATATCACATATCAACAGAAACATTTCTTTATAATTAGTTCACTGCTCCTATGGTACTGGTAACACAGTTTTCCACAAATTCATCCATCCCAACATCAGAAAGGACTTTACAGAGAAGTTAATTTAGAGACGCCGAGATATGGAAAAGTATAACGCTACAAAAGGTTAAAAAGCCCAACCAATTCAGGAAGTGAGCTAGTCTGCTAAATTCATGCAAGCGATCTGTGGCATCACTGATTTTTATAAGCCTGGTTCAGAATCAAATCTATGGTAAATTTTCACCCAACAACTGGAATGATCTCTCAAGAGAGCCAAGACAAGTTATAGGATTTTAAAGAAAGTGAAAATAGTTTATAGATGCAGAATTAAGAAGTGACACCAGTTTGCAGTCTAGGCAAAGGCCTCTGAAGCCCTTACCAAGACTTTCCATGTCACTTGAGCACTCAAGAAAAAAAAAAAACAAGTGCATTTTCTAAACCACAGAAAGGCTACTGTTACATGCTAGAGGAAAAAAAAAAGTTACTCTATTACTGGCATACTTGAGACAATGATTCACCATGTGTAATTTTGTCAAGTACAAACACACACCATCACATATGCGTACAATCTAACACAAACAAAATAACTTTGAAGAGCGAGGAGCAAAAAGCCTTAGCAGATGGGCCTGCTAGACTATTTAACTCTGGTTTTGTGGAAAGATATCCACAAAAAAAGTACACAAACATTTCTAAGAAGTTACCATTCTTAAAAAAATGACATTTTAGATATTAGGACTGAAAGACCAAGAATATAAAAGAACCGAACAGCAATCTTGGTATTTCTAGAACATCAAGAACTTCCCTGGCAATAATATTCACCTGTTTCACTTACATTCTCCTTGGCTTGTCGGTGACCCTCACCAATTGCTCTTAAGCTTGACAAATACAGTTCTTCTAAGGCTTTCATCTTCTGATCCTGTGCTTTCTGCCATTCATCCTTCAGCACCTCCTCTAACTTGTGTAGTTGTTCTTCTCTCCTCTGCTTTACTTTCTCTCTTATCTGCAAGGCGATATACTTCTGTTGCTCTCTAACCTGTAAAAGCAGCATTTACGTTTTGTCAGCAACTTAAAAAAGCACAATATTTTTTGCAGCAAGTCTTTCCACAACATACTCTACCCTCCTTTCAGCTTTCCATCTCATCTACTATTCCATTAACAATCTGTCCAGAAAATACCTTAAAGTTGTAATTCCCCGTTTCCAAAATTAAGATACGAAATAATAAATTTAATCTTAGTTAAATGCTTCAGTTAAAGTCCAAAGAGCAACATACAAAACCAAATGCAAAAGCTGCTTGGAATATCCTTCCCTCCAAAAATACAACACAATAATTTATTAAAGACTCCTATTACAATGCAACATGTTTTAAAGAAAATCAGCAACTGTACCGATAAATTAAAGTCTGTTTACTAAGTTTTTTGTTTCCATGTAGGTACTCTGTTCAGACACTCTAAAAGAAGCAGCACTTAAAGCACTTAGAGCTACAACATACTGGAGCAATTCAGTTCGTCTAGTGGAAAACTGTGAAGTTCTGTGTTAGCAATAGGCATCTTATTTCTTCTGCAGGATCACTACGAAAACACCTGGAACAGTCTAAGAGGTTTCAATCCTCACACGTGGGACACATCAGAGGAAGAAAGACAACTGCATGTTCACAGCCAGATAAGAATGGTAGATACTGTGAAGCTGGCAGGGAGGAAGAGATTCTGGAACAGGTGCCAAAGGAAATCTCACAAACAGAGAAGGTATTACAAACAGAACACGTGCTTAGTAGTAAATAAACATGAGAAAAGGAAAATAATTCACAAACAAAAAAGAAGCCTAACATACAATATGACAAGCCTGAAATTCAGTTTACATTTTCCTAAGTTAGTTGTTACTTCATTAAATGAAATACACAACATGCAAAAATACAGGCATACTTGCTGTAGCCTCAGTTTTCTTCTTCTTTCATATTCTTCTTTCAGAAGCATGGTTTCTTCATTAGGACTAAGCCTCAATTTTCCAACTTTTGCAACTTTCCTCTTCATCTTTGGAAACACTGAATAATCAACTCCTATGAGAACAATACGAAAAACAGGAATTGTGCATAAATGATACAAGTAAATCAGCTATAAAAAAACAGATACTGCCATAATCTTACAAATCTATCATGGTATCTAGGAGTATGAGCTGCAACTGTTCATGTGTTCAAACTGTACTCAACAACATTGGCACTGTCTTTGTCACAGTCACAAAGTGTCGTGCTTTTGAATTACTATGGTATAGAGCAAACTCTGCATCAGTATTACATTCATCTTCTACACTGTGGACCAGACAGGCACATCTGCAAAGGGAGTAGCAAACAACATTCGACTCCTGGAAAGACAAAAAATCCAAACACAACACACTACTGAAACCCACACCACACTGTACAGCAGGCTGGTCACTTAAGTGCTTTGTATTGAAATATTCTCATAATAAGATATTGAGTTTGTTAACATTTTTGACTGCAGTCCAAGGTTTTGTGCCTTAAGGCCTGTGAAACTCTGGCAACAGTCTGCATGCCAAGCATTTCACTAGAACATTAAAATTGCTCACTGACAGTTTTTAATTCAAGTTTTTTAAACCATTTCAAACGATGTTTCCCTGCAGATTTTACTGTGGAACCAGGATCTGCTGGTTCTGCAGATCACTTCCCAGTTTCTTTGCAATTATAACTTGCACCTGCACAGCAAAAAGACTTTTTCAGCCTGATTTGCAGCCTAATCCAAAACTGCCCCCTCCCCTCTCTCAATATTTATTTGATCTTTGAACATTTATATCCCTGAAAACACTGTACCAAAACAAATCAACAAGGATCTTTAAAAGCTGCTGTTTAGTTCTAAAAATCAAAAGCTTATTACAGGCGAACAATCCACATAGCACTAACAATTTAAAGAACACGTTACACCTGGAAAGATTTCAGTATCACAAATTAAAAAAAAAAGGAATTAAAGAAAACAGATGAGGTGTAAAAACAAATTAATTATCCATAAGATACTTTTGATACAATGCTATTAAGCCAGTGAACCCCAAGTTTGTTACAGGATAGATAGGGACAGAAGATGTTCCTGCTATCCTTCCATTATTCAGCTCATGAGGCACTAAACAAGTTTATCAATACACATAATTACGGAGCAAATGATTACATTCCTCTCTCTACTTCTGAAAAGCAAAATTTAAAGGATGAAGCCAAAAGGACTAACCCTTGAAGGATAACAACAGAAGCAGATAACGCAAACACCACGGAAAAGCAGTCAATATTTGCACAGATTTCAGTAAATACACGAGAGTTAAAAACCTAAGCCAGCCTTCCCCGGGAACACTGCACTAGAGGTTCCCGTAAGGAACGTTAAGACCTTTTACTACCGTGCCCGGGAGAGAACTAACCCAAAAGCACCTCTCCAGAGCCGGGAAGGGGCGCAGCGGTTCAAACGTAAGGACGAGCGCACCGCACCGGCCGGGGGCTGAGGCCTGAGGCGGGCGGCGCGGCTGCTGCGAGGATGGCGAGGAGGATGGGGCAGGCCCCCAGGCAGAGCCAGCCAGCTCGGCTCAGGGGGCCCTGGGCCCGCTCGGGCTGCATCGGTGGCCACCACCGGGGCGGCGACAACCTGACCAGCCCGAGCCGAGGGGAGAAGGGAAGGGGAAGGACACCCCGGCCCAGCCCCAGGAGCCCGAAGGCGGGCAGGGAGCGACCCCGCGGCGGGGCCGCCCGCACTTACCTGCCGCCAACCGCGCGCGCCCGCCCGCCGCCAACGGCCTCCGCCGCCTCCTGCGTCACCCCCACGCTCGCCCCAAGCAGCCAATCACTGCGGGCGCAGCGGGAAACGGAGAAGCCGTCGTGGGTCCGGCCCTCTGCGCGTGCGGAGC